GGAGAGGTTTTTTAGTGCCAGGAAGGAAAAAAAACTGGCAGGAAATGGCAGAAATCGTACACCAAATCCAGTCATTCCTGGAGTGGAACCACAGTCAATGGCCTCCACTCCAAACCAACAGATACAGATACTAATGCCGGAAAAAAAATCCCCCCCCCAGTACCAACAATACCACCAGTCCGATAACATTCTTCTTGGTAAATATACAGGGTCTAAAGCCAGCAACAAACAACAAAATACCTTTCATCCGTGGACTGCTTGCAGAGGCAAAGGCAATGTTCGCGGCTTTCACTGAGACCCACATAAAGGATCACTTGGACAACGAAATATGGATCCCAGGTTACAACCTATACAGATGTGACAGAGTGAACAGGCAAAAGGGGGGGGGGTTGGCCTGTACATTGCAGAGTCACTTGTTTGCAAAGAACTGCTAAATGCCTCAAATGATGTAGTGGAAGTTTTAGCAGTAAAGGTCGAGAACCAAAACCTAGTCATTGTGGTAGTCTGCAAGCCTCCGGATGCAACACCCCAGCAATTCCAGGAACAGCTGTTAAAAATTGACCACTGTCTGGAAAATCTTCCAGCTCCTGCACCCAACATCTTGCTCCTGGGGATTTCAACTTAAGGCACCTAAAATGGAGGAATATAGCAAATAATATTGTTGCAGTAATAACACCAGGAGGCAGCTCTGATGAAAACTCACACTCACGCGAGCTTTTAAATCTCTGCACAAAATTCAATTTAAACCAGCAAATAATAGAGCCTACTAGACTGGAGAATACACTAGACCTCATCTTCACTAACAATGATGATCTGATAAGAAATGTCATCATATCAAAAACAATATACTCAGATCACAACATAATTGAGGTTCAGTCATGTATGCACGGAGCCCCAGACCGACATAATGAGATTAGTCACGAGGGAGCATCCACCAAATTCAACTTCAATAACAAAAACATAAAGTGGGACCAAGTAAACCAAGTCCTAACCGATATAAGCTGGGAAGATATACTAAGCAACAGAGACCCCAACTTATGCCTAGAACAGATTAACTCGGTGGCACTCGATGTATGCACAAGGCTTATTCCTCTAAGAAAAAGGAGGAGTAGATGTAAAATAGAAAGAGACAGGCGCTCCCTTTACAGGCAACGGAAAAGAATAACAGAGCGGCTAAAAGAGGTCAATATATCTGAAATGTGTAGGGAGACACTGGTCAGAGAAATAGCAAGCATCGAACTTAAGCTAAAAGAATCCTTTAGGAGTCAGGAATCGCGGGAAGAACTAAAAGCCATAAATGAAATCGAAAGAAACCCAAAGTATTTCTTCTCCTATGCCAAATCAAAATCGAGAACAACGTCCAGTATTGGGCCCCTACTTAAACAAGATGGGTTCTACACAGATGACAGCAAGGAAATGAGTGAGCTACTCAAGTCCCAATATGACTCAGTTTTTAGCAAGCCGCTAACCAGACTGAGAGTCAAAGATCAAAATGAATTTTTTATGAGCCACAAAATTTGATTAACACAAGCCTATCCAATGTTATCCTGACGCCAAATGACTTTGAACAGGCGATAAATGACATGCCCATGCACTCTGCCCCAGGGCCAGACTCATGGAACTCTGTGTTCATCAAGAACTGCAAGAAGCCCCTATCACGAGCCTTTTCCATCCTATGGAGAGGGAGCATGGACACGGGGGTCGTCCCACAGTTACTAAAAACAACAGACATAGCCCCACTCCACAAAGGGGGCAGTAAAGCAACAGCAAAGAACTACAGACCAATAGCACTAACATCCCATACCATAAAAATCTTTGAAAGGGTCCTAAGAAGCAAGATCACCACCCATCTAGAAACCCATCAGTTACACAACCCAGGGCAACATGGGTTTAGAACAGGTCGCTCCTGTCTGTCTCAACTATTGGATCACTACGACAAGGTCCTAAATGCACTAGAAGACAAAAAGAATGCAGATGTAATATATACAGACTTTGCAAAAGCCTTCGACAAGTGTGACCATGGCGTAATAGCGCACAAAATGCGTGCTAAAGGAATAACAGGAAAAGTCGGTCGATGGATCTATAATTTCCTCACTAACAGAACACAGAGAGTAGTCGTCAACAGAGTAAAGTCCGAGGCAGCTACGGTGAAAAGCTCTGTTCCACAAGGCACAGTACTCGCTCCCATCTTGTTCCTCATCCTCATATCCGACATAGACAAGGATGTCAGCCACAGCACCGTGTCTTCCTTTGCAGATGACACCCGAATCTGCATGACAGTGTCTTCCATTGCAGACACTGCAAAGCTCCAGGCGGACATCAACCAAATCTTTCAGTGGGCTGCAGAAAACAATATGAAGTTCAACGATGAGAAATTTCAATTACTCAGATATGGTAAACATGAGGAAATTAAATCTTCATCAGAGTACAAAACAAATTCTGGCCACAAAATAGAGCGAAACACCAACGTCAAAGACCTGGGAGTGATCATGTCGGAGGATCTCACCTTCAAGGACCATAACATTGTATCAATCGCATCTGCTAGAAAAATGACAGGATGGATAATGAGAACCTTCAAAACTAGGGAGGCCAAGCCCATGATGACACTCTTCAGGTCACTTGTTCTATCTAGGCGGGAATATTGCTGCACACTAACAGCACCTTTCAAGGCAGGTGAAATTGCCGACCTAGAAAATGTACAGAGAACTTTCACGGCGCGCATAACGGAGATAAAACACCTCAATTATTGGGAGCGCTTGAGGTTCCTAAACCTGTATTCCCTGGAACGCAGGAGGGAGAGATACATGATTATATACACCTGGAAAATCCTAGAGGGACTAGTACCGAACTTGCACACGAAAATCACTCACTGCGAAAGCAAAAGACTTGGCAGACGATGCACCATCCCCCCAATGAAAAGCAGGGGTGTCACTAGCACGTTAAGAGACCATACAATAAGTGTCAGAGGCCCGAGACTGTTCAACTGCCTCCCAGCACACATAAGGGGGATTACCAACAGACCCCTGGCAGTCTTCAAGCTGGCACTGGACAAGCACCTAAAGTCAGTTCCTGATCAGCCGGGCTGTGGCTCGTACGTTGGTTTGCGTGCAGCCAGCAGCAACAGCCTGGTTGATCAGGCTCTGATCCACCAGGAGGCCTGGTCACAGACCGGGCCACGGGGGCGTTGACTCCCGGAACTCTCTCCAGGTAAACTCCAGGTAAACTCCAGTAGTATGGGAGTTTTGTGACTTTTGTGGAGGATCTGCAGATGGTCCCTACTTAGTGTCGTTATATTATCTCCTTGTTTCTGATTGTGTCGCTATTGCTTGCTATATCGTTGTTCGACTTATCAGTCGTTTTATTGTTCAAGCAAGCTGTTTTGATTGCCAGGTTGGTCAAGAAGTTAGTTGATGTGAGGACTTTGTCAGTCACTGGTTTAAGTCTAGTCGAGTCGTGAGACACAGCGAACTACTTAGAGCACTTACACACATACACACAAACTTATTTGTATATATGTATATGTATTATTAAATGTTAATGTACCAGACAGTACTTAAGACATATAAATGTGATATGTGCCTTCAGCAAATATTACTGCACACGAGAGAATGTTATTTTGTTTATGTTCTTTTACATTAATTAATTTGATAATAACCCAACATTTTCATTTTTAAATAAACTTAATAAATTTTTTTTTTCTTTAGTTGTAACCTACCAGTTGAAATCCTGAAGCACAATAATTATTATCGAATTCAAGGAAAATTTGGACCAAACTGACACTTGTTAAAAAACCCAGTAAAGGGCTGGATGCTAGAAGGGCATCCTTTCTAGTTTACCAGGATTCTATGTTTTATTAAAAACACATTTTTTTAAACTTCCCTTTGATGGGGTTTGTAGTCTCGGCCCCCTAGACTGTACCTGTGTACTCACCTGTTTGTACCACCTAGTTGTACTCACCTAGTTGGGGTAGCAGGGTCAGTCCTAGCTCCGGGCCCCCACCTTTTTCACGGGTCCACTGGGGTCACTCTCCCTAACTTTTTTTACATCTAAAGGTTGAAATTCCTCAAAAAATAAAATTAAGATTTTTTCAAAGAACGCTTTAAAAATATACAAATAACCGCACAATGAAGACAGAAACTTACGAGACTTTTCGGTCCAACTGAACCATTTACAAAGTTGTGAGAATGGTTTTGAAAACCGACAAGTTGAAGAACTGAGACACTTATGCAACACATGGGAATCTTTATTGAAGAAACGTTTCGCCACACAGTGGCTTCATCAGTCCAATACAAAGTAGAAATTGGTAAGTAGAGTAGAAGTTCAAGGTAATCAGTCCCTCAACCTGGAATCGATGTGTTCTGTCCATCACTCTTGTAGGAAGTGCAGCATAGGGCCACTGCAACTTCATGGAATCTTGGTACAAAGACATCAATGCTTGCCCTACATTTGGACGACGACCTACTTACACTAGTGGCAGGTCCCACTGTGATCCCGCCTCCTCCTGCTTCAACTCATCTCACCGCAGTATATAACCCCACCTCTCTGGCCCTATGCTGCACTTCCTACAAGAGTGATGGACTGAACACATCGATTCCAGGTTGAGGGACTGATTACCTCGAACTTCTACTCTACTTACCAATTTCTACTTTGTATTGGACTGATGAAGCCACTGTGTGGCGAAACGTTTCTTCAATAAAGATTCCCATGTGTTGCATAAGTGTCTCAATTCTTCATTTACAAAGTCCTTATTAATGAATTTGTAAATGGTTTAAGTTGGACCGAAACATCGTGGTAAGTTTCTGTCTACTATGTGCGGGTTATTTGTGTATTGTTCCAGTCATGGTATTCTGCCTTTTTTTGTTACTGTTGTAATTATGGTGGAAGATCTCAACCCTCAGGTGCTATATGAGGGCAGGAAGGTAATAAACTTTGACCTGAGAATATGAAGGGTAACTCCAGTTCCTTGGATCAAGAAACCAACAGCATCAAGAAATAATTACCTTCTTGCTGAGATATATAAACATGTTTGTTGCTCCCTGGCTGCTGCTCGATTCTTTCTTCTCTTTCCTTTATACCTCAAGTTTATTTACATTATTACTATTAAAATCATGAGGAAGCGTTAAACTCGTAGGGGCCACAGAATGGCCTGTAGTTTAAGGTTCTGCTGATCACTGCATCAGAAATATACTCAAAAATCCGCTCGTGGAATGCTATGTAAACACATCATAATAAGCAAAATATTTTGATCCCATTTATACTTAAAATAAAAAATAACTTTCTTATACATAAGCTATGTCCTTACTACAAAATTAAAAGTTTTATTATTAATAGTCGTTAAAATTAAAAATCAATAATATTCAAACTTAAGTCTAAAAAGAAAAAGTCAAAGCTAATTTGCTTGACGATACTATGATTATTTTTGTTGGGTTTGTAGGTTGACAAGGAACGAGGACCGTGTGAAGCCACCTTTCCGGACACTTAATTCACTCACATCGGTCACAGGGAACGTTGGAATCTTGATCCTGGGCTTCATAACTCAACATTAACTAACTTTTTTGCCTTTCATCATATATCCACGCATTTCTTTTAGACGTTTCATATCCTTTTTTATCTTTTTCTCATAAAGTTTGGGTTTTTGTGTTCTGTCCACGGAGAGACCGAGATCAATAAGATTTGCTACATAATTATGATCCTTTCTTCTGATCATGATATTTGATTCTGATAAATCATTGTGAGCAAAACCGCTCTTATGAAAATCTTGTAGTGCTTTTTTAGAAGCTTTAAATGCCCAAAGACAATCCTCTAAACAATTTTTGTCTATGAATTCTGAGAGAGTTTGTCCGGTGCAGAAGGATATAACGATGGCTAAGGGATCATAAATTATTCCATACAGCTTTGGAGCTCCACCGGCACCATCAACCTTGAGGTGAGCTCTGGCTTCCTCGACTGCTTCTTCCAGATCAACATCATCAAAGAACTTCTTGGCGACGACAGTGGTAGAGGTGTCATTATCTTGTTTTAAGACAGCTTTCCATGCCTCTCCATAAGCCCCTCTACCAAGTTTTGTTTTAATATCCAGGCTGGTCCAGGATAACACAGGGATAATAGTGTCACAGGTGTGTCCTGTCTTTGTCTCATTCTTCTGATGGAAATTCACATCCAATTTTGGCTTTTTGGAAGGTGGAGAGAGAGGTGGAGTTGTGTTGCGAGGTCTCTTGAAGCCACCAGCTTCTTGTCCCTCAAATATCTCAGCCAAGTATTCCATGTTTTCCTTTTCTTCCAATTTTGCTATCCTGGTAAACTTTACTTCCTTCCAGGAGAACGCTGTTAAGGTCTGAGGAATAAGCTGTACAATTATTAATATAGTTACACTAGAATTATCCCCTCAAGGAAGGTTCCTTGATGTTGGTGAGGGGCTCTTGATTTAGGGAATTGGATCTGTGCTCCAGTTCCCCGAATTAAGCCTGAATGCCTTCCACATCCCCCTCTAGGCTCTGTGTAATCCTCCGGGTTTAGCGCTTCCCCCTTGATTATAATAATAATAATACACTAGAATTATATACTAAAGCAGACGAGACGACCGTTAATATAGTTAATAGATGGTATGACCAGTAATATAGTTAATACAAGGTATGACCAGTAATATAGTTAATAGATGGTATGACCAGTAACATAGTTAATACAAGGTATGACCAGTAATATAGTTAATAGATGGTATGACCAGTAATATAGTTAATACAAGGTATGACCAGTAATATAGTTAATACAAGGTATGACCAGTAATATAGTTAATACAAGGTATGACCAGTAATATAGTTAATAGATGGTATGACCTGTAATGTAGTTAATAGATGGTATGACCTGTAATGTAGTTAATAGATGGTATGACCTGTAATATAGTTAATAGATGGTATGACCTGTAATGTAGTTAACAGATGGTATGACCTGTAATATAGTTAATAGATGGTATGACCTGTAATGTAGTTAACAGATGGTATGACCTGTAATATAGTTAATAGATGGTATGACCTGTAATGTAGTTAACAGATGGTATGACCTGTAATATAGTTAATAGATGGTATGACCTGTAATGTAGTTAACAGATGGTATGACCTGTAATATAGTTAATAGATGGGTTGCCGTGTAATATAATTAACTTACGGGATCACCATTAATATAATTAATTTACGGGATCACCATTAATATAATTAATTTACGGGATCACCATTAATGTAACTTGCGGGTTCACCATTAATATAATTAATTTACGGGATCACCATTAATATAATTAATTTACGGGATCACCATTAATGTAACTTACGGGATCACCATTAATATAATTAATTTACGGGATCACCATTAACATAATTAATTTACGGGATCACCATTAATGTAACTTACAGGATCACCATTAATATAACTTACGGGATCACCATTAATATAGTTAATAGACGGGATGACCAGTATTTATACTGGTTGTAATTTATATTGTTTAGTTTTGTGATGTATGTTGTGTAGTTCTTTGATGAATATTGTACAGAGTTGCAGTGTGTGTTGCGTAGTGTTGCGATGTATACTGTATACCGTTGTGGTGTGTGTAGTGTAGTGTTGTGATGTATATTGTATAGTGTTGTGATGTGTGTAGTGTTGCGATGCATATTGTATAGTGTTGTGGTGTGTGTTGTGTAGTTGATAAATTAGACACATGTGCAACTCTTGGGTATCTTTATTAAGGAAACGTTTCGCCACCCAGTGGCTTCATCAGTCCATACACAGGAGAAACTTGAATAACTGGAGGAGAATGAGGTAATCAGTCCCTCAACCTTGAGTCGATGTGGTCAGTCCATCAATCTATTCAAGATTGATGGACTGACCACATCGACTCAAGGCAGAGCCCATAGTGTCACCGAAAGTTCGAATATAAGATCAAAAAAGGCGAATAAGATCAAGAAAGACATCAGTAGGTATAGGAAGATGAAGTGAGCCTTCACTTACCTTCTCTGAGAAAACTAATAACATCATCAAGAGGGACATTGATGAAGAGGGACTCAACATCAAGACTAAGCATCTTACAGGTCAGGAGGGAGCTAACCTGTTCAACGAAGTCCTGAGAGTGGTGGAGGCCAGGAATAATATAGTAACACTAATAAGACATTGAGATGATCATATAATATAGCTAGTGCGAGCTGCACTATTAGAGAGGTGATCATATAAAATGGCTAGTGTGAGATTCACTAGTAGAGAGATGATCACATAATATTAAGTGAACTCATTACTATGGAGTTACCAGGCATGTGGACGTACGTATTTAGATTTTGTTCAGTAGGATGCCAAGCCCATGATGATTCTCTTCAAATTACTTGTTCTCTCTAGGCTGGAATATTGCTGCACACTTAACGGCGCTTTTACCATCCTATGGAGAAGGAACATGGACACAGTGGTCGTCCCACAGCTTCTAAAAATAACAGAGATAAACCCGCTCCTCAAATGGGGCAGTAAAGCAATAGCAAAAAACTACAGACCGATAGCACTAACATCCCATATCATAAAAATCTTTGAACGGGTTCTACGAAGCAAGATCACCACCCATCTAGATACCTATCAGTTACACAACCCAGGACAATACGGGTTTAGAGGTCACTCCTGAATGTCCCAACTACTGGACCACTTTGACAAGGTCCTGGATGCTCTAGAAGACAAACAAAATGCAGATGTAGTACACACAGACTTTGGAAAAGCCTTTGACAAGTGCGACTATTGTGTAATAGCACACAAAATGCATGATAAAGGAATAACAGGAAAAGTTGGTAGATGGTTCTATAATTTCCTAACAAACAGAACACAAAGAGTAATAGTAAACAGAGTAAAGTCTGAGGCGGCTACTGTGAAATGCTCTGTTCCACATAGCACAGTACTCGCTCCCATCTGTTCCACATCCTCACATCTGACATAGACAGGGGTGTAAACCACTGCACCGTGTCTTCCTTTGTAGATGACTCCCGAATTTACATGACAGTGTCCTTCACTGAGGACATTGTAAAACTCCAGGCGGACATCAACCAAATCTTTAAATGGGCAGCAGAAAATAATATGGAATTCAATGATGAGAAATTTCAATTATTCCGATATGGAAAACGTGAGGTAATTAAAACTGCATCGGAGGATGAAACAAATTCCAACTACACAATAGAGCGAAAAATTAATGTAAAAGTCCTGGGAGTGATCATGTCGGAGGATCTCACCTTCAAGGACCATAACAATGTATCAATCACATCTGCTAGAAAAATGACAGGATGGATAATGAGAACCTTCAAAACTAGGGAGGCCAAGCCCATGATGACACTCTTCAGGTCACTTGTTCTATCTAGGCTGGAATATTGCTGCACACTAACAGCACCTTTCAAGGCAGGTGAAATAGCTGACCTAGAAAATGTACAGAGAACTTTCACGGCGCGCATAATGGAGATAAAACACCTCAATTACTGGGAGCGCTTGAGGTTCCCGAACCTGTATTCCCTGGAACGCAGGCGGGAGAGATACATGATTATATACACCTGGAAAATCCTAGAGGGACTAGTACCGAACTTGCACACGAAAATCACACACTACGAAAGCAAAAGACTTGGCAGACGATGCAACATCCCCCCAATGAAAAGCAGGGGTATCACTAGCACGTTAAGAGACCATACAATAAGTGTCAGGGGCCCGAGACTGTTCAACTGCCTCCCAGCATACATAAGGGGGATTACCAACAGACCCCTGGCTGTCTTCAAGCTGGCACTGGACAAGCACCTAAAGTCGGTTCCTGATCAGCCGGGCTGTGACTCGTACGTTGGTTTGCGTGCAGCCAGCAGTAACAGCCTGGTTGATCAAGCTCTGATCCACCAGGAGGCCTGGTCACAGACCGGGCCGCGGGGGCGTTGACCCCCGGAATTCTCTCCAGGTAAACTCCAGGTAAACACTACACAACACACACCACAACACTATACAATATACATCCCTTGTATTAACTATATTACTGGTCATACCATCTATTAACTATATTACTGGTCATACCTTGTATTAACTATATTACTGGTCATACCTTGTATTAACTATATTACTGGTCATACCATCTATTAACTATATTACTGGTCAT